ACTTAAACAATTGTTTTGTAAACTCTGTACCTCCTACCTGCAACGTGGATTATCTATAGTTTCCATAATCACTTATAGCCATCAACAAAGAACTTTAGAATTAGATCAGCCACACAGGTATCTAACGGAACCTTAATTCCACGCCCACCTCCCCAACTCATTTGCTCATCAAAACTATGAAATTCTGGCGTTTGAAGAAATTCACTTCAATAAGCGATATAAGAATTTGTATATATAAGTATGTGTATATATATATATATATATATACACATACTTATATATATAATATATATAAATATATATAAAATATATATTAAGTATGTATGTATTAAGTATTAAGTATATGTATTAAGTATATAATGAACTCACATACTACTTTAAGTATATAATGAGCTCGTATATTATTTCTCATCCTTTCTGCTTTTATTAAAGAATGCTGCCTTTAGGAAGAAATAAACATTTCCTTGAAATTTAATAGGAAGATGAAAACAGGTAGAAAATAGGTTTGATTGTTCTTTTTGCTTGGGATGCTATCATAATACAGTCTTGTCTTTACCGCCTTAGAGCTGAAACATCAAGTATTATACACTAATTACTAGCATGTCAGTTCAATGCTAGTAATTTATTTTGAGTATTCAAACTAAGAAAAAAAACAACTAAAGAAACACAAAAATTGCCTTCAATTGTTACCTAACTTCATCCTCGAAATATTAAAGAGTAAACATGGGACATTCTGATACCGCAACAGGAATGAGGTCAGTGAATCTGAGAATGATTTAAACTCTCTGACAATTCAAAGACAGAAGACGACTCTAATGTACAGATAAAACCCAAAGTGGCGATAGTAGATCATACTCCGGTAGTTAATGGCATTGACTCGCTAGAGACAAATCTGGATCTACTTAAAATGTCAGGTGTGTAAAGTAATGAGTCTTCGCCTAGTAGGAACCCAGCAGAAGGAGGCTTCATGGTCCACTTGTCAATTGAGTATATATTACTGCAAGCCTGTTAAATAAATGAGTATTTAATACCTATTGGATTAAAAAAAAAATCCACATACTCTAGCAACTCACAACTCAGTTTTTTGGGAGAAAAGAAAATTTTATCAACATAGTGAGATGCTTTCCTCCAGCCAACGGAACTCAACGTTTTAATGAGTATTATAAAATATTTTTAAAATGCAGGCAGGTTTCTGAGAGGTACAATTTCCCAGAAGGAAATGGAGGGACTGTAACACATATGGTCCTGATGGATATTTCAAGTGTCAGAGAGAATTTGCACTCACTACTTTAGAATCAGAATCTCTGAGTGGAAACAGACCCTAAGCCGGTCAGTCTAGCCCGGTTTCAGAGAAAACAAACAAAGCCAGGAAAATGTAGTAGAACAGGTCACAATCAGCTGTGAATAAATGAAATCAAATATATTTACCAATTTTTTTTCTCTAAAATTTTTTGGAAAATGTTGACATTTTCCAGGGCTTAAAGATTAACAGTGAATTTAACTGCACTGTTTGATGTTGTCAATGGGTAGTAATTAAAAAAAAAAATTAAAGTCCTTTCAACTCTATTTTTTATTACTTTTAGAAGGAAACATTTAAAGCACAAAGACAATGACTGCTTATAAATAACATTCTCAAACATTGTGTTTATTCTTTTACTCTTTGTTGTACTATTAATATACCTTTCTACTAAAAGAAAAAAAATCCAAAATATTCTTTGCTAAACAACTTCATTTTACAATACCAATTTAGGTCACTTTTTTTTTTTTTAGAAAGACAGTACAGGAGGACATGGTTTTAAAAGGCATGTCAACAGTGATTTTTCTCCTTCATGAAATATCTGCTCAAAATGAAAATATATTGAAGAGAAAAAATTGTCAGTTCAATTAATTGCAAGAATATCAATTCACAATGCTAAAATAAGAATATTAATAAAATGCAATTATTTTGCCATCTTGTCTGTATATGGCACACATATGTGCCCTGTAAACATACCTATATGTATACATTAGGCATATCTTTAACCCTACTTGTCTTAACTTCTGTTTGATAGCAAGAGTGTGTGTTATAAAATCTATGTTTTAAAATGCTGAGACCAATTAATTGGTAAATTTTAGTTAGCAATGGATTTTCTTTTAAAGGGGTACCATATAATTAAAGTATAAAAGCAAATAAATTTGAGGGGGGAACATAGCCTTAAAAATTGTATTTGGTGAGAAAGAAGGAAAAAAGGAGGAAGGAGGGAGGGAGGGAAGGAAGGAAGGAAGGAAGGAAGGAAGGAAGGAAGGAAATGACCCCAACACACAATCTGATTAATATCAAGTATAACACCTATATAAAGGCAAAAAGTTGAAGTGCTAATGTAGCCACACTCACCCTCTCTCAGCTACTGCTGGGACTGGATAATTTGGATAGTAGTGGAAGAGACCAATGTACTCTGTAAAATTTTTAGTACAAGCAATTAATTTGACATGAAGCTTTACACACTGTAGCAGAGTTGGCTTTATGAAGAAGAGACAAATCTAACCACCTTTTTAAGGAGACCTGATTGATACCTTCTAAAGGACGAATTCCTTTGGATGCTTTGGGTTCTATGGGCATAGCAACTGGTAAAAATTAACTATAACTCTATATAAAACATAAATTAGTGAACTTCATATTTTTTTTTTTTTTTTTTTTTTTTTTTT